ATCTTTTTTTTATTTATATATTGCCTTAAATAATATGACGTTAAAATGTTATAAAATACATTATATTATAAAGTATAAAGAAACAACAGTTACATTATTACCTACATTTTAACTACGTAGGTACTATTTTATTTACGAAAATGGTGGTAGAATGGTAAATAAATATTAGGAAAGCCAGCTAGTTCTTAGTAGTTTAGTTTTTCTGTTAAAGTGGAGACGTGTCGCGTTGTTGTGTTATGCATTGCAAATTTTACAGGAAAATCTTTAAAATAAATAATTCGAGAGACGCTAAAATGGTGACTTCCACCTTATCGAGACTGAGGACCACAAGAGTAAACCCGTAGCGTAAAAAAATCAAGAAAGATATAACTTGAAACGAAAGACCAAAAGCCGAGAGTAGTATTAAGACGTTAATTTTTTGGTTTGTGAAGCATTGACATTACTTAGGTAAAACCATGTGATGATTTTCACAAGCCTTAATTTTTAAAACCATTCTATATCGCCTTTTGATTAGGATTTACAAACTTGTTCGAGCAATTTACCCAATAATAATTGGCCCCTTTACCTCTTAAGCCTGCTCATGTAAAATATTTGGGCTCCTTACTTCGCCTATTTTTTTAAAAATATTCGGTCCCTTTTAAATATGTCCATGTAAAATTATATTATCCCATTACGCCCTTAGATCTGTTCATGTAAAAATATTTGCGCCCATTGTCGCTTAAGCCTACCTACGTTTAAAAATTTAAAATGGTTTTAAAAAAGCGGCAACATCTTTTTTTATTTTGATAAATTATTAATACCAATTATTTGGGTTGGGCAGTGCATTTATCATTCTGATAGTTAAACAATAGTAGTGTTGGACGACTACTGATGTATTTTTTACATATTTTTTAAAACTTTTCGGTAATTAAAAATTTTCAAGTTGTTTTTGTCTTGGTTTTGGAAAAATTTACTAAAAAAAGCTAATTAGTCTTGTAAATCACTAATTTTCATGCAATGCATTTCATTAGCAGGACAAGCTTTCATTATGCCCATTATTAAAGACTTTAAGAAATAAATACCTTATTGTAATATAAGAAGAAAAACCTTAATTAAATAGACTTTTATCGTCTGATGCTTACTAAAAAAGTTGATCCAAGGTCTTGTATATCACTAATTTTCATGAAATACATCTTATTAGCCCGAGAAGCACCCGTTTTCATCCGTTATCCTTAAAGGGGTACGTCAAAATTTTACCCTCAACATTTCTGGGCTCTTTTCAATTAGGGCGTTCAATTATTTAAAAAATGAAACACAATTTACAGATTTTATTGTTGTTAAACGTAATGCCAAATGTGAAATGTCACCATTCATTGCCCATTTTTGATTTTTTTCGATTTTCGATTTTTTGATTTTTCGATTTTCGATTTTTCGATTTGTCGATTTTTTATTTTTCGATTTTCGTTAGTGGGTCGTAGAAAAAATATACTGTACAACTCAAGTGTATTGGCCATATTCACTCTTGTTGCACAAACTACTAATTTTCTACACCCTCATGGATATTAGCTCATCTACGCGCAGACTACAAAACGATAAAGTATGTCATTGCGTTTAACTGAACGAATATATTTCATATCCATTCTAGGTAGTGATAACACTGCAAAAAAATTAAATCAATCATAGTTCATATTTTAGACACCCAACTACTATTATTTTTATAATTTTAAATAAGGAGTAGGGTTGCAACTAGGGAAGGCGCAACCCCCCTTAGAAATCTCACCTTTACAATCAGCAGCTGTTGTTTGACAGGTCGTTGGAGAATATTTGCAATGTATGGAATATTAGGAATCTTAGGAATGTTAGACGTTAGGAATCAATCGGGTTCTAAATTAGAAGCAATTATTTAAGAAAGTCAATCGGAACTTTCATTCTAGAGCTATAGTGCTGGCATACATACGCGCAGACGACCAGACGAAAAATTTTTTTTTACATTTTCGGACTCTATGTTTGGAAACGTAAAAATGTTTAAAAAAAATGGTACGAAAATTTTTTCGTCTGCACGAATTTAATACTGAGGCCCCATAGGAAGGGCCTCAGTAATGGTTGGATAGAAAAATATTTACTTGAAAATGACGAGACATTGGAAGTAGAAGATATATACTGTGAAACAGCCAAATGGAAAAAATTCGGTAATAAATAAATTAGAGCCTGTTCCGAAAAATGTTAGGACACGTCGAATGGTATTTTTAGTTGCGCATTTTTTTAACAAAAAATTTTTAAAATAATACAGGGTGTATGGTTCGTTGTGTTTTTAATTTTCATTATTATTTGCATTTTCTGTCCATTTTAATAATTTTTATATTTTACTAATAAATAGTTTAGTTTAATGTTTTCAGCTTTAAAAAAAATATAATTAGTTTAATTTTATTTTAATAAATTTGTCCAAATATAAAAAATCCTATTTAACTGTAGTACCTTACTAAATAAAAACAAAAATTATTTCAAAAAAATATTAATTTAAACTACTTGCTCTGATATTATGTACTAGATATTTACTTTAAAAACCGCAAATAATTTCTTGTAATAAAATTTCTCGTTAATATTTTTTTATGCTTATGTGTATACACCTAATATGCCAGTCTCAGTTTGTGTTTGATTTTCATTTATGTGTGTTTTGTGTAGGCTTTGTTACTGTTTCCCAGCGCCAATTTAGGAAAAGTACTGTTAATTAGAACCCAACAGTGAATGGCCGGAGTGGGGAATCTTACCTGGACATCAAAATTATTTTTAAATAATTAAAGTTTGTAAAAGAATCCCGGTTGACGGTGAGATTCGAACTGCGGACTCTTGGATTCGCAAGCCCAAACTCTAGCTCTGAGCCACCCACCCCCTAAAGATTTGTTTAATAGAGAAAGAAACATCAAAAAAAAATTTCTTTATTCACTTGTAACATAATTAACTAGCATTCTACAAAAACTTATATGTTTCATCAATCTTGTTTAAATTGTTGAGTGGTGAATGGCAATGATGAATAAAATTACGTGTACTTTAATTTCATTTAAATAATAGTTTGACGCCATAATGACAGTAAGTCATATTATTTATATACAAATATATATCTTGAGGCCGAAATGTTGTTTGGTAAAGATTACTAAGAAGAGAAATTAGAACTTCATCGTTCAAATATCAGTATACAACGTTGCCAAGTTTTCGATGCCAAAATGTTAGTAGACTGAAAGCTGGATATACATCTACAGTAGCGCCAATATGGAAAAACGCTGAACTAATTGTATATAAATTTTTCATTCTACCATCATTTTGGCACACACTAAAAGTGAAAATTACTCTAAACCAAACAGAGATAGGTAGGTAGTATTTTGACCTAACAATATGCAGTCACTTTCAGTTCGAATGCGATAGAAACGGTATATCTATCGCACTCTCAACAAAAGTTATTAAGCAAAAACAAAGTGGCGTCGATATACGGACGCCACATCGTCTTGTGACGCCAAATTGTTGGAAAAAGCACAATGTATCGTTGCCAAAATGATAGAATGATGTATATATATATATATATATATATATATATATATATATATATATATATATATATATATATATATATATATATATATATATTATATGTGATATAGTTGCGTCAGTAAGCACTTTAGATCTTGACTTGCCAGTAGGTCAGTTGTCATACTGTATACAGTGTTAGCCACTAAATATTTTTCAATATGTTTTGCATAAGTACATGTAAAAACATGCCCGGCCGCGGTTTAAGGTTGTCCGGGCGTTATAAACTGATATGGCTGCTTGCTATTATTATGCTAACTCTCTATAGTTTTCACACGCACTCGTGCAAACTGCATTCGATAGCTGATACTGTATACTTACTAACTTTTGTGCAGCAGATTGCTGGCTGTTCTAGTGGTAAGACACTGATATTTTATGACATCCCACAACCTGGCATATCAAGCGAATATGAAGTGAGTACCTACGGGAAATATAAAAGTTTGTTACTTATTAAGCAGTATAGGTTTATTTTTATATTTTAAATGTAAGCTACTTACTTGCTTTCTCTATATTACCTATGTATCTACTTATTTAAATTTAGATGATTACATATAAAGTTTTTTTTTTAATAAAATAGAAGACATTTTTAATGTGTCACGTATGTGTAACACCTGTCTGTCTAACATTTAAAAAAAGCCAGTCGACGTGGTAAAAATTGCAGTTGCCAAATGGAAAACAAAATAATTTAAAAATTTTGACAGTTCGTTGGAATGCCTAAGTTTTTCGATTATTAGTAATACGCATTTCGCAATCTAGCAATGAACTTAGTAATTTGAAAATAATTTCTATCAATATCTCTTAACCACGTGTACGTTGACCATTTTTTCCTAAATACTACAGGGCATAGTTTCTGAGATACCGGCCGTATTTTAGAGCCAACAACAGCCGAAGTTCTTTATCATTTGTACACTCGGTATTTTTAGAAAACAATGAATGTCTACTGAAATAATAAATAAGAATAAAAAATAATTAGCAAATAAATTAATTGATATTAAATATTTAACTTTTAAGACTGATACGCCCGTGGATGTTTTCAATATAGCAGCAGAAAATGGCGAGTGGTTCATTATGTTACGTCAATGTAATCCGTTCTCTCACTCCGATTTAGAGATAGAATGATTTAGGTTTTAGATTCACAACGAATGCACTTTTATCAATGACTAGTTGGGATGTAGATTTATTGTACCTACCTTTTATAATGTATTTAAGCTATATTAATAATTTATGTATACTAATGGATCTTTCCGCAATATATTTATTTATATATACTAATTGCACACTTCAATCTTGAAAAGCAACAAATATGGCTAACAGCAATGATTTATCTGTTCAATTTGATAAACAATTTTCATCATTGATAACGTGCAACGGAAATTTTTCATTGCAATGACTATAGAAGCTACTTAACATTAAAAAGTTAAAAACTTATTTATATATTTTAGGTGTTTTTCAATTTAGACCTTCATTTCCTTACATGGAAAAAAGCTTGAAAAGAAAAAAAGATGTAGATAATGATGAATCAGATGAAGAACAACCTGGACCAAGCTCTGCCCAACAAGTTACTGTAAAATTTAAATCACATGATGAGAGGTGGAAAAAGTCAGAAAAAAGTTATAAAGTATTGCAAGATAGAAGTGCTGAAGAACCTTGGACTGAATGTCGTTGGCATGATGAAGACAGTACCTTTAGTAGTGTAAGGATTCTTGAACCTTTATATATTTTGACAGACTGATTAATATATACAGTATTCGATACAGCACTTTAGGTACTTCATGCAATATTTGTCTTTTCTATTACTAATAAAAGTGATTATTCTTTTTAATTTATTACACTTCTCAAAAATATTTCTTTTGACTGGATAAATTGATTTATTAATAATTATTAAAACAATTACTATCAAAAAAAGTGGTGACAATTAATATTGTTGCAAATATTATAAGGAAAATAATACATCTTATTTATGATTAATATTTGTTTAGGTGGAGAAACTCAAATTAATTGCCGACAATACTGAAGATGTAAGTACAGCAACTTCCTTGGGAGATTCAGAGTATTTAAGATTGTTGATTCCTGAGGACCAAGAACAGGCACCTCTTGAACCAGTTTTGCCTTCCCATTTGCTCTCTTTAAATGCCCTAAGGGCTTTACCTCTTCAGGAGCGGTGCAGGGTTCTGCTCAAGGATGGTAAGAAATTAATAACCACACCTCTAAATAACTAAAATTTACTTTTCTAATCTAGTCATTTTTATGGCAGTTGTGCTTTAAGTCTGTTTTGATATTGTATGCATGGAATTTGCAGCAGTGAAAGTAATGTTAGTGTTTGAATGTGTGATAATTTATATGTGAAAGCAAAATATTGAGAAATTATATGTGATTGAATGTCCAGTGTTTTAGCCAGTATATACAAGGTGTTTGTATATTCGACCAACAACGCTCTACCCCAGAGAGCTCTCGTTAATAAATTAATTTTAATATGTGAACATGGTCCCTTACAGGGCTAAGTTACCGGATGTTAAAACTTTGAAATCAAATTTTAAAATTTGCCATAAATAAAAAACGCCTTTAAATAATAATTTCAAATTTGATGACCAATATGCTCTTTAATAAAGTACTATTATGACATAAACTTACTTTTAAAATTTAATTAATTTAATGGTAATTAAGTTAATGGTAATTTTCCCCCCTATATTTTACACCACTGGGATAAATATTATTTCTTATTTTTTATTAATATTTTTTTAAATTCTCTGTTCATTTTAGTAAATAAAGAGTGAACTTTTTATGGAGCTAAAATGAACAGTGTCGCAGAAATTTGCTTCTAAACAAAAGTCTACATGTTCTTAATCACTTGTAAGAATTCAATATTTTGAAATTCTAATTTAGTAAACACATGTCAAATTTTTTATAGTTTGTGTTTTTGACAAGATCTTGGTGGATTAAATTAGAAAAAAATATTTAAAAACTTTTTGTTTCATGGTAAATTTTGAATATTGATTTAAAAATTTTAACACCCTGTATCTCGGTAACTAAGACCTTTAGAATTTTATGTTTCTATATCAAAATTCATCAATTAACGAGAGCTCTCTGGGGTAGAGCGTTGTCGGTCAAATATACAAACACTCTGTATAAATAAGTCTCTCCTGTGGCATACCTTGGAAGAGAGCTAAGTGGACCTAAATATTTTATTTTTCTTATTAACTTCAGTTCCTTACAGGTAGTGTAGTTTACAAATTTTAAATAGAATGAAGATATATGAAGGCTTGAATTAAATAATGTCGGTTTTTCATTTTATACTTGTAAAATGTTCTGGAAGCCATAACCAACAACATATATAAAGCGCTAAGTGCCATGGCTATTAAATTGCGAATTTTGTAGTAGAGAGACACTGGACTTCGAATCCTACAGAAAACCATGGGAATTTATTTGCATGGTTCTCTATAGGATTTGATGGATGCCTTATTAGCAAAGATTTAATTTCTGTTGATATGACATCCAAATTATAAAAATCGCCATGCGTTTCCATTTTCGATGAGGTTGGGCGGGTGGGGGTTTTCCTCACCTATGAGTCAAATGGCGCCATCAATCATCTTTAAGTCGCCCAGGAGCACCACAGCAAATAATAATAATAATAATAGCAGTCCCTTTCCCTACACAAGTCACTCATTCGGCTACAGGGGTTAAAATTGACTCATAAGGGGGTGAATTAGGGAGAGTATTATTTGTAAGGGATGGCCGAAAATATAAAATAACTTGGATGGATTTAAAACTTTATTTCTCACACATAAAACATAAATCATGTCGCTCCTTCAGCACGACCCTGAATGATCAAAAAATCTAACCTAATTACTCTTCTTCTTCCTGTTATTACATATTGGTCTGTTACATACCATTATTTACATGGCCTCTTATATGTATGGCTGGCGCCATACCCTTACATATTATTATAATATTATACTCTTCACAGTTTAAGGCCGCCATTTCAACGTATTTTATATGGTCAAAACAGAGGTTTACGTTTTTTTACAGAACTTATCTTTCACTGGATGGATTTTAGTAAAACTTTGGCAGCTTATAGTAAAATGTTTAATGATTGCAATGAGGCAATTTCATTTGTCCTGCTAATTATTAAATGCTTTTAAAAATATATAAAAAAGTGATAGTTACAGATGCAGTTACAAAAGTTTACATATTTTTTGGAATATTCTTGCCAAATTTTAATAATGAATGTTGCGTACTCTTTAAAATTTGCATAAATTACGATTTGATATAAAATTAATAACTTGGTGACGTCCATATTGAATTTTAGTTCAGAACCTAAGTTATAGGTGTCGGATAGAGCAAAAGTAGCGAAAGTTTCGATGCAATGTTGCCATATCTTAAAATTGTTTTGAATTTAAAGGATACATCGCCAATACAAAAAGAACAAAATAGAAACAGCTCAAAACAATTTTAAGTCAAATCAATAATGATAATTCTGTTGATCCCAATGATCCATCATCTTCTGCCATTAATAGCAACAATAATTTTTCTTAAATAACCAGTAATCGCAATGATGTTACCGGAGCCATTAATTCTAATGTTTCTATTAATTATATCAATAAATAATATTTAACTAGGTCCTGAATTAATGGGCTTTTTATTTAATAAGGAGACTTAAATACCCCTCATTTGAAAGATCTTTTAATTATGAACAATCTTGTCGATTCTAATTTCAACAACTTCAAAGAAAATTTCTTAAAATCCCCTTTTCGTTTTCGGTCTGCCACCCTGTATACAGTTGTAGATAAAGTATAGTACTCAATTCGTGTATAATGGACCATTTTACACTCGAATATTTACAACACTGTTTAATATGGTCTACATTATACACTTGTTAAATAATATATTATAATTCAATTAAATATTATTTTTATTTTAACATTTAATATCACCACTGTCGCTAAATGTAACAATCCGTTAGGCTAAAGGACCGCTGTTGTCACCAAATGTAACAATTAACTTGGTTAAAAGGGCAACTGCTTGTCACCAAATGTAACAACCAGTTAGTCTAAAGGACCGCATTCGGCACAAAATATAACAACCAACTTGTCAAAATACCCATTTCTATCAACTGATAGGTCTTTAACCACTGTTGTCAATATATTATTAAGGGATTAAGGCAGTACTGTCACCAGCCAAAGGGTCCTGTAGTCCCGAAGGAACATCCGTTCACCACTGGCAAAAAATAATAAAATGAAATTAAAAAGAAATAAAATAATCCCTTAATAGCATAATCAAGCGGCTTTGGCAACTAGTTATAGACTTCTAGTCTTTAGGGGTAGAAACGCCGAGGCTTCACAAATGCTCGGAATATTTCATAACTGGTTTTGGAAAGAAAAGGAGAAAATAAATAATAATAAAAGTAAATAAACAGTAACATGTGTATATTTATAGTAATTGCAGAATAAATAATCAGTTTATATTTAAGAACTAAATGAAAAATAAGAATAATAAGATAAATATAAAATAGATAAAACTGGAAATGGAAAAATGGACATTTATATTAAAATCAATAAATTAATTGTCTCAAAACAAAACACACACAACGTGTTAAATTTAAATATATTTACCTCAAGTACACAAATCGCTGCACAAAACTTTACACATTAAGGTTTTTCGGGACCTATATGGGAAAAAAACATTTTTTTTAAATCTTCGTAGGGATGTAACTTTTCCGAGTAGGTTTTTTTCAAAAAAATTTATACCAAATACGCACCTTCATTTTAATCACAGACTCACCCCTTTTTTGGTGTTATTTAGATACACCCTTGTATAATGTCACCACCTCCTTCGGTGTTACCAAACCCTATCTCTTTTATATAAACATTCTTATGAGCAAAGCGAGCTAGTAATTTTGAAATATATTCAACATTTGAGATATATTGTTACGCCAGTGCCCTTGAACCCGGCTTAATGGGATCTGGAGATAAGTTGGGATATTAGCGTCTATTTCTTGTGCTCTACAAATGAACCCAGCATTGACCTTCAAATGATTTAGCGCGCGCAAAAGTGGCCGTTTCAATAATTTTAGCGATGTTGCCAATTGCTTTTTGTTATTTGTTCTAAATAAATATATTCATGGTAATACCGTTCTATATTATTTTTTGTTTATGAATAATATGACAACTGATATTTTTATTTCTATAAATGTAGAGTTGTCAAACAGTAAAAGAATGTACATAACAGGAATGACAGTGGCTATTTTTTCAATAGCTCCAGGCCAGATGATAGAACCAGAATATAAATGTTTTTATTTGAGACTTTTCATTTCAATTATTCAATTTGAGCTGTGTCCAGACCGTTGGAGTCTATGCCGGTCGGCGTAGCCAGGTATGGGTTGATGTTTTGTCGTTGCTTCGTTTTCTTGTTGCTTCGTTTTCTTGTTGCTTCGTTTTCTTGTTGCATATTTATGGACGTATGCGCAATCGCAAGAAATTATGTGAAAAAGTTTACGTTTTCAATTCAATTTGAGCTGTGTCCAGGCCGTTGGAGTCTATGCCGGTCGGCGTAGCCAGGTATGGGTTGATGTTTTTTGGTGGAGGCGAAGTGGTGCATATTTATGGACCGTATGGGCAATCACAATTTTCCATTAACTACTAATTTTATCACAATCCGGCAACGTTGCAATTATATTTTCCAAATTTGACAAAACACATACTCACATAACAAATTAACAAGCACGAACGAACTGAACGGATGTCGTTATCACTTCACCTTACTTCACTAGATGGCGCCACAGAATCAGGTTCATTTGAAGAGCACAAGAAATAGACGCTAGTAGTTGGGATCAGTCAAGTTGATGTTTGTGAATGATAAAATGAGTTAATTATATAGATTTTAAAATAAAGTTGTTTTATATGACCCTGGGTCGTTTCAACTGGTGACAGCGGTGGGATTCCTAACATTAAAATAGTTTATGGTTAACACAAGGTCCCACAATTACGACGAGAATACCCAAGATATGGATGCAGCAAGTATCCCGGAATTTTTAAAACAACAAAGAGAAGAGGATGAAGAAAGAAGGATTCACGAAAAGCAAGAAGCGAAATCCGAGAGAGAAAGGGGAAAACAAGAGGAGAAAAAGATAAAAGAACGTGAAAGGCAAGAGGATAGGGAATTTCTCGAAAGTTTTACTGAAAAGCTTA